TTTAGTAGTTGACCCCAGTAATATTTCAGTCAATTACGTCCACAGATTCGAAACATTCGGAAAAAAACCGCACCCTTCTCCGAGAATTTCCGCGATTGCTGATGGGCGCTACAGGGCTGATTCATTTAGCAGCTGCAGGGGTCCAACAATCAGCGGTCATTTTCACGCAATCTATGAACAGTGTCCAAGATTCCAGCCTATGAAAATGTAGAATAGTTGGCACGATTAGTGAGGCCTAAACGAAATCAGCATAAACGACAGTAGCTCAAATATTTTTAGAGTCGAAAAAGAAGCAAGTCTTTCAAGTAGCGGGAAGTATGTTATTTTTCTTTATGAGCTCATCCCCATTTCAATTTACTTATCAATGCTAACGGTTATCTTTCCAATCACATGCTTTTCAGAGACGGAGAAAATTGTCTACGATGGATTATAGAAACTGAAAATGTCGACAAATATTTTATCAAATAAATTTAAGCCATGTTGCTTTTCTCCATGTTATCTATCCATTTGATATATCGAATCAATAGCGCTAAATTAGTACGGAGAGGTGATTTCAGACCAAAATGTCAACAAATCAAAGGGCTTGAGAACACGTTCCGAAAATTAAGAAAGTAGATAATATAACCGGAACATTTAAAAAATTACGGGGTTTTGACCACCCACAAGGAAACCCGATCATCGCCGCTTCGAATGGGAGAACATTATCGGAGAATGAGCGCTGGAGGATCAGATAGGAATCCACTGACTTCGACTCTCAAGGTGTGGTATTCTGCCTATTCACCTTCGATTCCCGCTAGGCAGCGCTCAGGATTTGCGTCGACGCGCTGCAATTGCAACAGCGTTTCAGTTCTAGAGACGCGAACACCGCCGCAGACGGGAATCGATCGGCGCCGCCCTAGGGCCAGTACCGATCGGTAACACGCTGCGTGAGACCACGTTTAGACTTCGCTCGCTCTATTAGATCGCGCGATCACGACCGGTGGCGCTCCACCGCCAGGCGGTGTGCTAAATCCAAACTGGGCCGCGTTCACAATGTGCCGATTTGGAGTGTGCCGTAACGGTGGGGCACCGCTTGGCGGTGGATCGCTCCCGTAACAGCACACTTCAAATCGGCACAATCGGTCGCGCCATCGGATCACATTCTTCTGTGTTCATGCCGAACGGCCTTTCTCATGTCTTCCAATATTTGACGTATCACATGCAACTGGAAAGCATCTGGCTACAATGTTCAAGTGGAACATAAACCAACTCATACTAAAGTTGTAAGGCAGAGTTTATACTTTGCGACAGGAGATCCCGCGATAAAAGTGTCATGGATAGTGCTTTTCAATTATGAAACAGTAGCTGATAAGTAATCTCCCAAAGAAGAAAACAGCAAGAAGCGTCCTCCAGAACAACATAAACAAAATCGCTCCCTCACAGTCACACCTCCCTGCGGTCTCTGTGCAACCCCTAGCTCACAAATCTATCACATCTCGCAGTAGTTGATATCATCCAGTGCAAAAAAAGAATACAAAAAGAAAACAACAAAAACGCAGAGGAAAAACTCTTGGTCGAATTTGGGGTTACGGTAGCACACTTTTAGTGTAGTGAAGTGTCGAGCTTTTGCACCACGAAAATTGCGTCACTCGTGATTTTTACGCGTTTCACCTTGCGAAATGGGTTGAGTTGAATGTATATGCCCCTAATGAATAAAATGTAATAAAGGAGAGCAGAATCATTCATGGGCACGAGCGCGGTCAGCGAAAAGGGCATGCGATTCCGATTAATGCCCGCCGCCCCAACAAAGAACAACTGAGCGGCCCTCCGTCAGAGGGCATCTAGCAAGTGGGCGGTCCAACTGGGCGGGCGTTAGAACTAGAACTTTCAGCGGCTGTAGCTCGCTAATCGCTCGCTGTGGAGTTGCGAGAGTGGGACAGTCTCTAGCTTGATGGCTATACTACTTGCACAAGGAAGGACGACCATGTACTCACTCCGCCTCACTTGTTAGATGACCCTACTACTTGAGCGCGGGGGCTGTCTTTAAAGGAAGGTATAAAGGAAAGTATCGGAGGATGCGCAACAGCCCCTAGTCCTGAAGTAAGCCTTGATTAGCGAACAGGTACAGAGATGCTTTCGGCGGTCTTTTTTCTAACGTTAGCGCCCGATCCTATTCTCCGATTCTTCCGTGCTTTCAAAACAGTGGCCGGGGTCGATCGATACTCATCTACTTTCGGCGAACATCCTCCCAAAACCACTCGATTCCGCCATTCTATCGTTGCAAAGTGTGAAGTGGATAACTTTCGTGGTAGACCAATACCCATCCAAACCTTTGGCGTGTATCCTCTCCTTGTAAGGGAACGCACCTTGAAAGAAGGCTGAAGCCGCAGGTGAACCCAGTGAAGGATTGCGGGCGATAGGCCAAGGTTTGTGATCTTCTGTGTCATCCGAGCGAAGATCTCTATGTTTTGGCCGCCTGCCAAGAGAGGGGCTGCTTGGCGCGTTTCCGGATTTCCTCCATGCGTGACGGGCCTTGTCGCTTGTGGAATTTTTCTCTCGCAGTTGAGTTTATCAACTGTATTTCAAAAATGCTGCATTCTTCCTCTTCTAGCCTCTTCTAGGCTATGAGAACTCACGGCAGGTGCATGGGTTGCAAGGCTGTCAGGAGCATTTGAAGCGGAGTTACCCATTGCCTATTGAATTTCTTTGTATCCTGCTCCCTATGAAGTCTCTTTCACCATACTAATTCATAATCTTTGGGAAAGGTCAGCAAAACCTTGGCGGGGTGGGGCCAGGTATCCGAAGCAGTCCCGTCGTCTTAACATTTTGTGGGTTAGTAACTGCTCTAGAACTTAATTATCATCTAAAGCACTGTAATTCATATTCATATCTAAACGTGTGTGAGGGGGAATGTTCTCGAAGAGAGCCTTTTGAATGGTTTTCTTTGAATTACGCAGTGGTTTTTAATGTACTTTAAGATGCTTTTAAGCCAGTTATTTTCAGGAATAATGCTTTTGTTCAGCCAAGGTGGCCTGAAATCTCAAGCACGGCAGTTGCAAAGCAAATTCAGCAGTATTGTGTTCAATACACGTCATTTACGGGTAAGCTGTTCTACCTGTCATCGTTTTTTGCGAATTTTACTTGCCTCCTTTATTGAACGATCTGCTGAAAGGCCACAAGGGCGCGTGCATAGCCTGCCATAGTGAAGAATGCAGAGACGAGGAGTTACAATTCAAAAGTAGTTTTTGTTAAGCTGCGTTCACTTTTGTAGTTCTGCAGTTATCAGTTCCTCAATTCTGCATTTCTGCGGCCATTAAGCAGCACCTCTTGTTCGAGATTATGTCTCCTCTGCGAAATTATTTCTCGGCAAATCTGGTCGTCTGCGCTCTAAGCCTAAGCCTTGATCAGAGGGGCGGCCGAAGCTTCTTTTCCATTCCTTGGTGTAAGGTTTTTCTTCCTCTTCGATTTTTTTGATATGCATTTATTTTAATGCTTCGTGGAATGTAATGAATATTGGTAACAGATATCAACTGCTTGTCTCCTGCTATCGTTTTGGCTTATTTGGACCATCGTATTGGCGGAGCTCCTATTTTCTTATCCGTCGATGGGTAACGCTATATTATCTATGATAAAAGCTTTTCATTCACCTGAATGTAACTTTTATCGCAAGTGATGCTCGAAAACGAGGTGATCTCGTTTTGTTTACGGCTTTGTCTTATAGACTGGTTGAGAAATGTTGAGTCAATCGAATGTTCGTCTTATCGGTTATTGTCCTCTGCCATCATTGTGTTCATAAATTGGAAACGGGAGTCGCGTGGTCTGCAGCTCACACCACGTGTCACAGTGCTGAAAGTGTCACCTGTGAGCCCATTTCAATGTAGTTTCGAACGCGATTTCCCCTGTTTTTGCAGTATTACTTTTCTAAATGTGTGGTTTTTACCGCTAAATTGAACGGTTTAGTTATGCTTCGGTGGTGCAATGACAGGTGTTGTGGTCAGCCTCTGTATTGATGACAGGTACGAGCATAAAGAGCGATGTGAGTTTAGCTTCTGTCTTTCCCACATTTAACATTCATACCAGTGAACAGATAAGCGAAGGAATTCCCTTAATTAATTTTGGTAAACCTTCATTTCAAACTGTCACAGTTAAGGAGCGATTTATGAGTGAGAGGCGATCAAGTCAACCGTAATTTGCCGTGACGTTGCGCGCGGCGTCTCCTTGATTCGGGGTGTGTGTCAGGACTCACCGCCGCGCCCGAAACTAGGTCGCCGCGCTGGGAAGTGGGTCACCGCGCGCGGCGATTACATGCTTTAACATGTTTGCATGTTTGAACATGTCTACCTGTTTGGACATGTTCTTGGCAGATGGAAGATGAGGAAAAGAGAGAACGCTCCAAGCAAACTGCGATAGGGTCATATTGATCGGAAGTTGGCAAAATGCCAGGTCAGGACTCACCGCCGCGCCACGCGAACAGGTCGCCGCGCGCGGTGACCTAGTTTCGAGCGCGGCGGTGACTCCTGGCCGTCTCCCTTGATTCGCATTGTCCTGTCAGCTGGAATACATCCCTTCACGTACCCACGACAACGTGACATTTATAGCTATTTTCTATTGTACATTGTCTACTTGTCGCCGTCCACGACTTAGAAATAACGTCACTTGCTTGCGCGACGTCGCACGCAACGCTTACTAGTACCGCAAATTACGATTGTCTTGTTACAAAACCAGCTCGCGACCTACCTAACTATTGCGAATTCGTTGAGATTCTGCGGGAAGGGAGTGGGGATTTATAATACACGCAACGTCGGTGGCGGCAAGGTCACTCGTGTCAAGGCCTAATTGATTAAACTTAAATAAACTGGAAGTTTGCAGGAATATATGTCAACTATCCAGGGAATGGCTGTTTATGCATGTTGCCCATGTTGTCACGTCCCTCATCTACCCTCAGGCAGTTGATGGAATCGGCAGCAAACTTAGGCAGCGCTCATTCTTTGTTCGTCCACGTCCTCTCGGCGAGAAGGTGCCACATCAGTTTGACTGACGACGCTGTAGTTCAAGCCATTTTTGCGTGGTGCGCACCAGCCAGGTTATACTGCTAGTCGGTTGGCTCGACACAGCGTTTTAACGTCAGATCGATTACATTGCAGCCTTCTACTTATATTGCTGTGAAACGATGTAGGACGTAATCTGCCGCAAACCAATTCATTTAAAGGCAGTGGGCACGGTTGTGGGAGGCGGGCAATTGTATCCAGTGTCATTGGTGGAAAGCTGCGAGAGGGCGTTTGGCCGCACCCCACCTGCCCTTCCGCCAATAACACTGGCGACAACCACCCGAATCGGCGATCGTGCCCACTGCCACTTAACGCCAAACAGCTGACATGGGTCAACTAGAAAGGAATGCTGTTTTGCGCGCAATGTCGCGCTTTCGATGACCTGAAACAGCCGATTGACGGCACGAGAGCCTTAGGCGATCGGAGAAGGGCATGAGCTAGTTTCTTCCACTGCCCTCCCCCCACCACAAATTGCCCTTGCGTTGGGGCTTCTAGATCTCATCAGTTCACTTCTTTTTATTCAGATCTAACTCCTCCAGCAATTATCTGTTTCGTTTGCCTTTGGATGTTCATCATATACGCTGTACTTGTTATTGGAAGATACTGCCGCTATTTGAAAGCCTTAAGGCTCATCAGAAGCCGGAATCGCTTCAACGTTGATGTGAGCTTTTTTGTAACGTTTGTCTAATTGCATTTCAAGCTTTTGCGCTGAATTTTCTTCCCCATTTTCTCCCATTTTTTACGGAAGCTTTATGATCTTTCTGGGACCTTCATTT